TTTGAGTAGCATATACCTGAGATATAGTTTTAGAATAACATTTGCTTTCGACTATTTTGAATCTGATCTGAAATATTATTGATTTAGTTATAGAATAGACATTTCTTTTTTGGTTAACGAGTAAATAAAGTTGTTACATAGTTGAGCGGTCATAAAACTATCTGTGAATAGTAAAGGTAAGACAATTTACAATACTGTGGAATACTTTATTTTCGCTGGAAAGGCTTTTCGGGCATTTTGTATGGAATTTATTTTCACTGATTTTTGATGAGTTGAATGTGAAATATAGGAAAAAAAGTATATTCGCTGGATTTTATTTTCACGGAATCATCCCTCCAGCGAAAATAGCATAAATAAATTCCAAGTGAAAATAAAGTATTCTACAGTATGTAAGAATATGGCATATGTTGTTTATTTATGCCGGTAATGTATTTCTTATGTTGTAACACTGTTCGATGTACTTTATGGTTTCTTTGATTAGTAAAGTGTTCTTATTACTCATTATTTGTATGAATTTTGTATTGTTTGTCATATCTTGGAATCCATCTATACAGGATTTGGCTGTTGCATATAGAATGTCTCTGTTGTTTGCATATAAGGTGCATTCTGTCGTGAAATGTTCTTCATCTTCAATTTTGGCACAGTTTTGACAAGTTCTGCCTTGTAGTATTTTAGGTTTTTGATGACGACCAGTTTCAATTTTCAGTTTGTGGCAACTCATTCTAAATCTTGCAAATGTCCCTATTGCTTTTCTGTCATTGAGTTTTTGTAAACCGGTTTCCTGTTGGATGTTATTTTTGAATAATTTAAAAGTCCTTGGTTTTGAATCAGTACTGTTCATGTTTGACATCCATGTATTGAATAATTCATATAGTATTCCTTAAATAATTCTTGTAAGTGTTGTTTTGTTATTTGTATATCAACAGTTTGCTCTGTTTTTTTAAGATCATGTTTTGATAACCAGCTGTTTTTCAACATTGTATTCTCCATCTCTTTAAAGTGCATAATATGCTATGTTGTTTTCATCAATGGATTTTAGGTGTTTATAGTATCTGAGAGCTTTGTATTGAATGTTACATAACAGTGGTAGTCGCCCTGTATCCATTCTAACAGCTATGTTACTGGTAGTGTTGTTTACATTTACTATACGTCTACAAAAATTTAGGTGATATCCTTCTGTGCTAGTTTTATCCCATCTACTCCAGTTTGTGCATAGTCCCCATATTTCTCCAGCGTATGTTAAAATTGGTAGTTGAGTTGTTTCAAGTAATTTTGTTTTCAATTTTACATGGTTGTTGTTAGTACCACTGAAAAGATGGAGTTGAGCCCTTTCAGTTTTCCTCGCCTTGTCAGGTAACCTGTCCATTGTTGCATCCATTGAACATTTGTAT